CATATCATATATATGCATATGTATATGCCTAGTAGCCGTGTGTCCCTTACTGTTTCACGTAGGATCTTACTCGATCCCATTCTGTCCGCCCACCAGCGTGCTACTGGCGACAACGGACGCTGTGTCATAGGACACATACCATATATAATACAACAGTGAGGGTCACACGCCTACTTGACATGTTTATACACCTCACTTCATAGGACCTATGACGTACTGGTGATCGGTACCGACCGTAAAACAGCCATCTGCGTTTGACCTGCTACACTCTTAGCGAGCTACTTATGTATTATATACAGTAGGTATGCTAACTCATGAAATGTTAACCGAAATTCTGAAAGGCGTTTTTGTTTCGAAAAGAGTGCCTAAGTAGCTCTGTAAAATTTACCATTCAACAGCATGATTCTATGATAATTCAGTTAATTCGGAATGCTGGCTTTCGAAAAAAATTCTTTCCGCCCGCATGCAAAAGTCACACTCTGTAAAAGGGACTACTTATGTGGCAGGAATTTTTCTCATTGCTTTTCGACGCCCTTAAAAAATTAAATTATATCTCGTAGAAAACGTGCATTAAAATACCCATTATTTTACTCATTTGGTAGAAAATTACATCTTCTTCCAAAATTGTCTTTAGCAAGGTGAGTAAAAATCTGATGACACCGAAGTCCCGAAAAAAAGCAAGCCGCAGCCATCGAGAAAAAAGTTGACGAGCCTGCTCTTCTGATAGTTATAAGTCCAGATGATTCCAAGTTGAGATCTCTCGCCGATCCGTCTATCTCATACGCTTATGGCCTCCCAAAAGTGTCAAATTGGATGCCTCACTGAGGATTATGGTGCCACTTATCGAATCACATACCTAAAATATAGCAAAGGCATCTAAAACATCTTACCCATGAACCTGACTGCAGCATTAACAACTTTTCCGCATCCCCTCACAAAATCTAAGGCGTCGTTGACTTGTTTTATTCCATATCATACGATTTGGAAAATGAATGCATAGCCCGACAGTTCGTCCGTCGATTTCGACGATGACCACCGTGTGCCCCACAGACTGCATTGTGGGAGCAGGGACGGTGACTTACGCAGGGGTTTATAGTGCCAGTAGACTTGCGTAGCATCTACCTACACTCTCTCCTCCTCCCCCGCCTGGGCCCGGTGTCAAGACAGAGTCAAGAAGACCGGAGACGAGGGAGGCCGCAGGTGGATGGCTCGGACGGATCCTCACCTTGGCGTTCAACCACACCCCCTGGTCCACATAACAATAACCAGGATTTCAACCAACAACAGAGATTTAGAGGCTGGCACGACCGGAGCCGCACCTAGGCGTGCCGCCAACGCCTGGCTCGGATCCCACACTGTGGTGGGAATGCCATAAAGGCCACATTAAAAAGGAGCCATTGCAGCCTGACTCTCAGACCGCCTCCCGTTAAGGAGGAGGTCCAAGGTACCCCGTCAGTTGGCAACCTTCCAAGCCACGGCTTTTAGCGCACCGTGATAGCTTCAAGCGCGTCAGATAGCCTGAAAAGTCCCCCGATCCGGTGAGCAATTCATTCTCCTCTGATTATAGTGAGGAAAATGCGCTGAGTCGTCGACCTCACTCTCCCTTCCCATTCCCACACCCCAGCCACTGTCCGAGCCGGTCAGTAGACTGGAGTGGGGAATGGGCGCGGTGGCTGACATGGTCGACTGACCATGCCTGCGCGCGCCACAGCACGACCTGGCCCCCCATACACACAAACACCAGGATTTCACACAACGGGGGTTGAACGGCGTGTCTCTCACTTGCGTGAGAGTGCCGTGGAAGGTGCTGTTGCAGCCCGTCCCCAGTCCACCAATCCGCCACTCCACACAACACACACACACACAACGTGACGAACTGCGTGAACCGAGAGCGGGCCTCAATCAGCAACCTTCCTATCCACGACACTCGACGTGTCGGGATGGTCTCGGACGCAAGTCACCCGTGCAGCCGAAACCGCATGGGGACCGAGTCGAGATGCACACTTCCCACTTGCGTGGGAGGCGGCAGTTGAGTGCATGAGGTGTGTGAGTGTGGATGTCTGGTGGGGTGATGGTGTTAGGAGGTAGGGAGTGAGGGAATGTGTGGTGTGACCGGCGGTTGTCTACCGCAGGTCGTCGTGGATGCGCATGTGGCCGAATAGACCCATGCGATGCCTGAAGGTGCGAGGGCAGTGTG